AAAGTGAAGAAATCAAAAATCTGAAGAAATTAGCCCGGGATGGCCGTCCAAGATTTACACTTAAAACTGGGACGGCCGTCTGAGAAGCAGAAGCAGCCTCTGGTTTTGGGACGACCGTCCGAGTTTTAGTACAAAATCGGGGACGGCCGTCAGAGATGACGAAAGGAAACTACCTTCTTCTCCAAATTTTCCACCCTATACAAGACCAAGCCAATCACATAATTGGGGATCCATCTTTTTACGCAAATTCAAGAGCAAAGAAGATCAACGAAGATTCAAGCATAGTTTTCTTATTTTATTTATTTATTTTATTTTCTTTATCATAAGAACTAAAAGTAGTTAAGTCTTTATTTCTAGGATTTTATTTGAAACCCTATGTGGGATTTATGAACGCTTTTCTATTATTTTATGCAAGTTTTAATTTCGGATTATTTCTTCTACTTGTTTTATTAAGTGCATGAAGTTGATCAACTTATGTGCTTTTATGTTATTATTAATTGCATGAATCGGAAGATCGGATTAATAATTAGAACTGTGGTAGAAGAGCTTTTGTGGTATTAACATAGAAATATAGTTAGTCTCTTAGATAGCCATTATTGAGATTTGTGCTTAATGTTGTGTTCTAGAATTAATTGCGTAGGAATACAGTAATTGAATCTAGAGTATTAGAATCGTAATACACGCGGAAGCGGGTTATGATTAATTTAGCATCTCAGGTTAATAATCCAGATTAATTACTTGCATAATTGAAGGAATTGAGGGAGTAATAATCACACACGGGGGTAATAAAATCCTAGGCTTGTTTAATTTGATTAATCTTCGTATTTAAATTACTTTTTTGATTTGTCCTTTTAATTTGCTTAATTAGTTTAATTTAATTTAGTTAATTTTCTCTAAATTCGACTGTGTAGGGTGGGCTTGATAATAATTGTTAGTGTTTAGCGTCTAGGATTAAATAATTAAGTATTCTCTGTGGGTTCAATATCCGGACTTAATTGTCCACTTTATTACTTATACGATACGTGCACTTACGTGTAGGTATTACCACCAACAAGTTTTTGGCGCCGTTGCCGGGGAATATTTTAATTATTTATTTTACTCTAGCTCTAAATTTGAACAATTTTCACGATTCACCCAAATTAATTTTTATTTTTATTTTATTTTTTTCGTTTTAATTTTTTTTCTTTCTTTGATTACATGTCAGGTTACAATTTTCGCGCAACTCACACGGGATATGAATGACTTCCGTCTGGCGAATACCTCCAAAATACCTATGATATGCCGTCACTTTGTTCAATATGTGGTGGAGATCATTACACTAACCAATGTTGGTATGCACCGAAAGCGAATAATTTCGTAGATAATACCAACGGCGGTTATTGAAACACATACACCAACACGTACGGGCAGAGCATTCCAAGCCAAGATTTCCACAATTTTCAACATCGTGAGCCGCAATTTGATGATTTTCAAACCTATTATGCAAAGCCACGAGAACCCACTATTGAGGAATGTTATAGGAAATCCATCCTTGAAGATTTTATGAAATCCACTCAAGCATCTATCCGAAGATTGGAAATAATGTTGGAAGATATGAAGCTCAAGAGGTCTCTTGAAAATATTTCAGACAATATCGAGAATGGTTGCAACAAAGAAAATATGTCTGCAACTTGTAGTGAGAAAAATCCTTTAGACCTAGAAAATAGTGTCGATGAGAGGGAAAAAGAATGTACGAAGACGCTTAAGGATGATGAATCTGAGATTGCAATCGAGCTAAACTCCAAAGATATCTCGGAACAAGAGATGAAGGAGATGGATGTGGTTAGTGCAAATATTCAAATTGAGGATCTTATCGTTGTTCTTGACGTGACTTTGAAGGCATCAATAGAGGTTGATGAGAAAGCGAATGTGTTTGAAGTGGAGGTTATACGAAGACTTGAGGCTTTTGTGTACCGATTTGAGTGAGCGGGTGATGAAGATCCCATCTTGGCTTCGTACCGATTGATTACAACCAAGAAAGACTACAAGCTAAAGTGGACCCTCACATATTGCAATGCTATTCATGCATTGGTTCCAATTGAAGTTCTAAAGACAATAGATGGATGCGCAATCTACAAGGCTTTTGATTGGACATAAAAAATTCAAGAAGCAAAGTATGGCTGAAGACTTAAAATTTAGCGCTTCTCGGGAGGCAACCCGAGCTTTACTGTTTTTCATATTTTTCTTTAATTTTATGTTTTATTTTTATTTCCATAGGCATTCATTCTAATTAATTTGATTTCTTATTTTTAAGGTCGGAATTGCGATTGGGACGGTCATCCTAGAGACAGAGAGGGCATCTTCGCAAGAGGAAAATCAAATTTCTTTCCTACAAATTCTAACACCCCGAAGACAACGATTCCGACTAAATCAGGTGTTTTCTATCCTTAAACTTTGTGCTAATTTCGTTGAGGGCAACAAAAATTTTAAGTTTGGGGACGAAAAACATGTTTTTGTGCTTATTTGTTTTAGTTTGCATGCATTAGGTTTTATTTATTTTTATTGCTTTTATCGTTTTTTTCGGAATATAAAAAAAACATTGCTTGGGTCGAATGCATCGATGATTTATGATGATGAGAGATGATCAATATTTGATGATGAGATTGCTTATTTTGTGTGATAAGGATTAGATGTATGTTTAGCTTTCGATTCAACGGAACTTAGAAACGAATTATTGCTAGGAATCACACTTTGTGCATTCCTTTGGTTTCATAGGAATATAGTAATTGAATCTAGAGTATTAGAATCGTAATACACGCGGAAGCGGGTTATGATTAATTTAGCATCTCAGGTTAATAATCCGGGTTAATTACTTGCATAATTGAAGGAATTGGGGGAGTAATAATCACATCGGGGGAGAATAAAATCCTAGGCTTGTTTACTTTGATTAATCTCCGTATTTAAATTGCTTTCTTGTTTTGTCCTTTTAATCTGCTTAATTAGTTTAATTTAATTTAGTTAATTTTCTCTAAATTCGACTGTGTAGGGTGGGCTTGATAATAATTGCTAGGGTTTAGCGTCTAGGATTAAATAATTAAATATTCTCTGTGGATTCGATATCCAGACTTAATTGTCCACTTTATTACTTGTACGATACGTGCACTTACGTGTAGGTATTACCAATGTTCTCAAAACCGGACCGGACCGGCCGGTTCGACCGGTTCAACCGCGAACCGGTGACTGGTCCGGTCCGAGTCGACCTCAAAACCCGAAAATGCAAAAAAACCGGGTCAGTTGCTAATGAACCGGTTCAACCACGGTTGAACCGGCAAAAACCGGTAAAAATCGGCCCCAAAACCGGATTTTTGCAAAGGGAGAGGAAAAAAAAAAAACCTACCTAGAAACACAAACTTGAAAATCTTTACACTTCTCTTGGAATTTTGATTTGTTAGAGATGGTTTCAGTAGGATATTAAAACCACATGAATATAGATAATACTGGTGAGGAGTTGGGGAAGGCAAAAAAGAGAAGAAAAAAATAGAAGTGGAGAACATGGAGAGAAAAACGAGGAGGGAGAGAGAGGGAGGCGGTGGGGCTAAGTAGATAATGGAGTTCTATACAAATATATATTAGGGTTTGGGGGAGTAATTTAAATAGTAATTTTTGTTATTTACTTTTGTTTTATTACTATGTATTAATATCGAATACATGTAAAATTACTATCTAAATGTATATAAATAAAATAGAATTAGTAAAATTTAATGATAGAGATTTTCTGTTTTCTCTTAGGGCTAAATACAGTTTGCACCCTTAAACTATAAGGGTGGTAACACTTACCCCCTTAAAGTTACAAATGTAACACTTACCCCCCTCATTAATGAATTTTAAGGTATAACTTTGACTTTGAATGATGTGGCATTTTTTCTTCCCAAATTGTCCTTCTAGCCATTAAATAAATAATGAATATGTAATAATAAAAAAATTGGGCAAATTTGCCAAAACTTAATTTTATTATTTCAATATTGTAAATCTATGAATGAAAAAAATTGAATTTTAGTTTATTTTTGTTTTACCTTGTGTTCATTTGTAGCTAATAAAAAGTTAACGATTATTCGAATTTTAAGTATAATTTTATAGTTTATATAGTTATTTTAATGCGTATATGACCCTAATATAATCATCTCACTTTTTTACTTCGAGAATCACAAAATGTATTCAAAAGTTAATAAGAAATTATAATTTAAACGTCTAAATATTTAAATATTATTTTATTAAAATTTATATTTAAGTAACTTCAATAAATTTTCAAATCAATAATTATTATAAAAAACTTGGCCATTTAAGTCTTGAATATTTTTTTCTCGCGAATGTTTAACGTATTTTATATATTTTTTAAAATATTGAGATTTTTATTTATATTAGGGTCTATAGTAATTAAAATGTGGAGTTAAACATAAATCAAAATATTTTTTTAATAATTATTATATTTTATAAATTTTAGTTTTTGAAATATTATTGAAACTATTTTATTATATATGCATCAATATAATAGCTAGAAGGACAATTTGAGAAGAAAAAATGCCACATCATTCAAAGTCAAAGTTTTATCATTAAATTCATTAATGAGGGGGGTAAGTGTTACATTTGTAACTTTAAGGGGGTAAGTGTTACCACCCCTATAGTTTAAGGGTGCAAAGTGTATTTAGCCCTCTCTCTTATAATACTTCAAAAATTTATGAGTAAAAAGCAGTTTACCCCCTAAACAAATGCCCGTTTTGCACTTTACCCCCCAAACAAAAAAAATTTGCACGTTCTTACCTAAACTCCGGTTTTTGTTGCACGGTGCCTCAAAATTGGAATTTTCAGGCCATTTTGACCGGAATCATACACACGTGCTTTTCACGTGAGTTTTAAAGGGGCAAAATAGTCTATTCACTTACCTTATTCATAAATTATTAATTAAAAAAAAAAAAAAAGCAAAAAACAAAATACAAAAAGAAAAAACAAAAAGAAAAAGAAAGAAAAAGAAGGGCTGCCGACGCCATTTCTACACTCAAATCGGCCATTTCGAACTGGCTTCTTCTTCATCTAGATAAACCACGGCGGCACCGACGAGATCCCCTCTACCCTCATAATCGATTTCGTGGTGAATTTGAATATAACAACAGCAACATAAAGTGGTGGGCAAGGTTTCTTACAGGACGGTGGTAGTGGATACAGAGGAATTGGTGGTGGAAGTGGCTTCACATAAACCGGCGGCTTGGAGATCGGGATTAGCGGTGGAAGCGGCTTCACGTAAACCGGTGGCTTATAGATCGGGATTGGTGGTGGAAGTGGCTTCACGGAAACCGGCGGCTTCCGCTTAGGTTTGTGGACGGGTGGCTTGTATACTGGCGGCTCGGGTTAGGCGACTTTACTATTGGTGGGCATGGTTTCTTAGGCGGCTTGTAAACCGGTGGCTTAGAAACGGGCGGCTTAATGGGGGGCTTATAAACCGGCGGCTTAGAAATCGGCGGCTTGTAAACTGGGGGTTTAGAAACGGGTGGGTTAGAGGTGGGTGTGTAAACGGGGATAGGCGGAGGAAGTGGCTTGACGAAAACGGGCGGCTTGTAGAGCGGCGGAAGGGGCGGCCATTGATGGTGGAAGAGCCTGAGGAACAGTTTCAACATTCTCGGTTTCCTCATTGCTCTGCTTCCTCTTCTGTATAAATTGCCCATTCCTTGTAAAGAGGCGGGCGGCGGCGGTGGTGGCGGCGGAGGGGATATAGGGTGGAGAGTGTGAAGAGGAGGAGCAAGCAGATGGAGCTTGTGGATTGGACTTTGTTTAGGAGGTGGTGGTTCGAATTGTTGCGCCTGAGTGGTGATGAATTTGGGAAAAGATTGAAATTGTTGGATTTTTTGTTGGCGGGGGTGGCGGCGGCGGTGGTAATGGCGGCGGTGGTGGTTTCTTGTTCTTGATTTTGGTGGTGTTCGTCCGGGAAGAAAATTAAGTGGAAACCCATTCCCATTCCCAGCCAATTGCAGATTTTCCCACCTTTTCTTTTTTTTTGTTTTTTTTTTTTTTGTAATTTATGAAGAAGATAAGTGAATAGACTATTTTGCCCCTTTAAAAACTCACGTGAAAAGCACGTGTGTATGATTCCGTTCAAAATGGCCTGAAAATTCCAATTTTGAGGCACCGTGCAACAAAAACCAGAGTTTAGGTAAGAACGTGCAAATTTTTTTTGTTTGGGGGGCAAAGTGCAAAACGAGCATTTGTTTAGGGGGTAAACTGCTTTCTACTCAAAATTTATATAATTATATTCATTAAATTTTTATTGACATATGTAATGTCTCAATTATGCTATTAATGTTTCAAAATTTATTTCTATTCTCTTTACATTTCAATTTTATTGTGAATAATTAATAAAATTATAGTTTTTGTTTGACATTTAATGAATAATATAATTATTGAATAAATATTTGTATAATAATCATTTTAGAATTTATATATTAAAAAATCAAAAAAAATATATAAAAACCCGGTCGGACCCCGGTTGAACCGGTCCAACTGTGACCCAGTAGGTTGCCCGGTTCTATGTCCGGTCCGGTTTTCAAAACATTGGGTATTACTACCAACAGTTGTCACGTACAAAAGAAAAACAACACGACAAAGAAAGGAAGACAATTTGATATGTGCAACATGGATGAACCATGGGTTGGTTAAAACGGTGATTAAAACATGCAAAGATAGAAAAAGTTGGTTAAAGATCTAAACTTCAACCTTTGGAATAAATATTATTCAAGTTTATCATACACGTAATGAGCAATGATATCGTGTGGTATGCTTTAAAGTAAATATCATGAAAATGTAAGCAAATAGAGAATTTTTTGGGCGGATTTCTTCGATAGCTAGGTCTATCCGTTGGCAACCTTTAGAAAATCATGAAAAACTGCCCCTTATTACTTGTAATAGTTGGCCAAGTGTCATGTAATAGTGCTGCCATGTGTCCCTAGGTAGTTTTATGTGAAAACTATATTTTCCTTGTATTTATTTGGCTATGAATGCACAAATCCGACCCATCTAGCATAGGAGAGTTCAGATTGCAATTGTTGGGCATTCTGAGTGAGGATTTTGTGTGTGCACCTTAGTCTCCTTTGTATTCTTTGTGGGAATTAATATAAAGGTTGGGCATTGCCCGTAAACGTGCTTGTGTGTTTGATTTCCGCTGCATACTCTTGTTCTCGTTTACGTTGGCTTAAAAGACTCGGTGTTTGTACGTTTTGTACGTAGAGAATCGTGAGGAAGGCTGACTGATTTGGTGGGCAAATCAGGCCGCACGCGCGAAAATTTCTTGAGCAAAGAAACCCCTATGACAGTTGGTATCAGAGCCCGGTTCAAGGGGTTCTGAACGTGTTGCTGTTCGGCATGGCTGAAGATTCTGGATCTTCGACAAATCCAAATCATAATCGTGTGATGATGCTAGAAATGGAATCAAGGATGCAACGTCTTGAAGCCTTGGTTGGGCCGCCCCTAGATCCAACGGATCCACCGATCTTACAAAGGCTCGCTGATGGGAAACGAGAAATCGATCGTTTGTCAAGATCGTTGGACGATCTGCCCCAATTTGTGGAGGGCAGATTCACGTCCGTTGCCGAGGAGATGGGACTTCTCATTGATGCCATTGAGACGAAGCTTGAGGGAATGCTTACAGATCTGACGGTGCTTAAGAGGGCTGTTCGAAACGAAGGATCAAGTTCTAGGGCAGAACGTCGGGATCCAAAGTTCGTGTGCCGGAACCGACTGCGTTTGATGGTGTGCGCAGTGCCAAAGAAATCGAAAACTTCGTGTGGGATATGGAGAATTACTTCGAGGCAGCCAAGGTTCCGGATCACGAGAAAGTTACCATTACAAGTATGTATCTCGTGGGTGATGCAAAGTTGTGGTGGCGTGCTCGTTTGTCGGACGATGCAAGTGCCAACCGAGTGAAGATCGAGACTTGGGAGGTGCTGAAACGGGAATTGAAAGAGCAATTCCTTCCTTGCAACGTGGGCTGGATTGCAAGGGAATCTCTTAGGCAATTGAAGCATAAGGGAACTGTGAGGGAGTATGTCAAGGATTTCAGTTCTCTGCTCATTGACATACGAGATATGTCCGATGAAGATAAGCTGTTCAACTTCATGGGTGGATTGCAGCCATGGGCCCAAACCGAGTTGCGGAGACAAGGTGTGAATGATCTGCCAAGTGCCATCTCGGCAGCGGATCGACTTGTCGATTACAAGGTGATGGGGGCCGATGATTCCGATAAGGAAGGCTCGAAGAAGGAAAAGTCCAAGGGAAAAAAGTTCGGTGGCAAGGGTGGCCGGAATTGGAAGCAAAAAGAGAGCGGTGATGGCGAGGGATCCACGGTGCTGACCAAGACCGGTGGACAACCCGTCGTCAACAAACAAAACCGTGGCTGCTTTCTATGTGATGGCAACCACCTGATGAGGGACTGTCCTAAGAGGAGCAAGTTGAACGCTTTGATGCGGGAGTCGGATAGTGAGGAAGATTCGAACGAGACGAGGCGTGCGAATCCGATTCAATTGTTGAGTGCTTTGGTCGTGGACAAGGCACCCAACGGCACCAAGGGTTTGATGTATGCCACGGTGCTGATCAATGGCAAAGAAGTGAAGGCGATGGTGGATTCGGGAGCAACTCACAACTTCGTTGCCGAGAGAGAAGTCAAGAAGCTGGGCTTGACTCTCTCTAAACATGCAAGTCAAGTAAAGGCTGTAAATTCAGAGGCGGGGCCGGTGAGAGGCAGAACCGATGTCGATCTAGTGATCGGTTCTTGGAAAGGGCAGTGCAGATTGACTGCCGTACCACTAGATGTCTTCGATGTAATATTGGGGCAAGAGTTCCTACTTGCTGCCAAGGCAGCGGTGATACCGTTTCTCGGAGGGCTGATGATTATGGACGAAGAGTGTCCATGCTTCGTCGAATGCTCGTACGTGACGAAAGCAAAGGCGGGAAAGAAACCGGTGGCAATGTTAGCTGCGGTGCAATTGGAGGCAGAATCGAACGACGAGGAGTCATCGAGCCTAATTGCAGCCGTTGGAAGCAAGATGGTGAATTCTCGGGCTGATTTGCTTGTACGTGCATTGCCGAGAAATGAGACGAGGGCCGAAGGCAAGTTAAGGTATTCATTTGAGCTTATGAATGGGCATTGTGGCCTTACTTTTGTTCCAAGTTGCTGCCGTGTGGGGCATAATTCGTTGGTTCGAAATGTGGTATTTTCTGAATTTATGTGGCATGTTGGGTTTTTGTTGGGCTGGTTTCTGTTGTTGATGGAATGGAAGCCGTGTTCGGGTGATTTCTATGGGTTGGAGGTCTCCTTTCTTGATTGGCGGGGCAATCAAGATAAAATACTAGTTGTGCCAAGAACTAGTATTTTCACTTGTGGTTGGGTGCTGCTGTTTGAACGTGATTGGCGTTCGTTTTTCCGAGGGCTGAAAGAATATGTCTGATGTTCATGGGATCTGACTTGGGATATGGGATTCGGTGTGGTGCTGATGATCGAGCACAATCAAGAACGGTGGCAAGACAAGTGGAATCGAGGTAAAGCTGAAGCCGATGGTGTCGATTCGACGAGGGCGTCGAACACCGTTGGTGGGGGAGGTCTGTTACCCCCTTAATTTGTGATATCGGTAATGACTCGAGTGTGGCCGAGTCATGACCGAGAATGGGTGCCAAGCAAGGGTTGGCACAAGGCAGCCACACAATCGGCCAAAGAGTGGTTGAGTGTCGGGCAAGCATTTGGGGTGTTTGTCCGAGAAAAAGCAAGGATCGACTTGGTTCAAGTGGGAACGGTGATCGAAAGTACTAGTGGCTGGCACGGGCGTTGCTCCGCAGCAAATGTGGACAAGCGTGGGCAGTAATCGGCATGTGGCCGATAACTTGGGCAAACGAACGTTCGAGGGAAATCGACCACGACTTGACAAGTGTGGGCAATTTGCCACGACTGATTGGCAAGTTAATGAAGGCAGCCCAATGTGCGGGCGTGCCAAAGACCGTGTGGGCAAAAAACTTGCAAGTAATCGGTAAAGACAAGCAAAAGTGCGGAAAATGCAAGGCAGGTGGGCTTTCTAGCAACCGGCCGGGCTGTTTGGGCCGTTGGGCGCGTGCCCGATCAAGATGGGCTTCAAAAATCAGCCTTGTACGGAGCGGTTGAGGCCTGGAAAATCATGAACAACTGCCCCTTATTACTTGTAATAGTTGGCCAAGTGTCATGTAATAGTGCTGCCATGTGTCCCTAGGTAGTTTTATGTGAAAACTACCTTTTCCTTGTATTTATTTGGCTATGAGTGCACAAATCTGACCCATCTAGCATAGGAGAGTTCAGATTGCAATTGTTGGGCATTCTGAGTGAGGATTTTGTGTGTGCACCTTAGTCTCCTTTGTATTCTTTGTGGGAATTAATATAAAGGTTGGGCATTGCCCGTAAACGTGCTTGTGTGCTTGATTTCCGCTGCATACTCTTGTTCTCGTTTACGTTGGCTTAAAAGACTCGGTGTTTGTACGTTTTGTACGTAGAGAATCGTGAAGAAGGCTGACTGGTTTGGTGGGCAAATCAGGCCGCACGGGCGAAAATTTCTGAGTAAAGAAACCCCTGTGACACCAACCATGATGCGACGACCTGTCAGTTTTGGCCCGTTAGTGTTGGCTCACGGCTTTGCCAGATTCCCTTGAGTTAGGGAGATTAAGGAGTCCAAACTTAACTCATATAATATTAGGCCCAAGATGACCAAAATGTAAATATAGTTGGTAGAGATTCCTAGAGGATTCTAGAAAACTTTCTATAACCCTCCCTTTGTGGATATTTTGTAGGAATTCTTTGGAGTGTTCTAGTGAACAAATCCTAGCCTTTAGATCAAGTAGATCTC